AAATTAGAACAGCCATTATGGAAAACAGTATGGAGTTTTCTCAAAAAACTAAAAGTTAGTCTACCATATCCAGCAATCCCACTACTGGCTATATATTTAAAGGAAATGAAGTTAACATACCAAAGAGATACCTGCATGTACATGTTTATTGCAACACTATTCATGATAGCTAAGATATGAAATCAACTTAGGTGCCTACAATGGATGAGTGGATAGAGAAAATGTGTATGTAGAGAGTAGAATATTTTTCACTCTAAAGAATGAAATCCTGTCATTTTCAGCAATGTGGTTAAATGGAGGATGTTAAATGTATTAAGCCAGGTACAGAAAGACAGAAACCACATGTTCATTCTTATATGTGGAAGCTAAAAAAATTGTTGACTTTAATGTAGAATATTAACTAGATTAATATTAACTAGGGGTTAGGAAGGAAGGGGATAAAGGGAGGCTGGATTTGTACTGTGCACACTGTATGCATTGTTGAAATGTAGTGAACCCCATCAAGAGGCACAATTAAACACATGTGAATCAAAATAAAATATTGAGATCACTCAACTTATATTATTCAGGAGGAAAGATGGATTGGAGCTTTTTTCAACAATGGGAAAAGTCATTTTTGAGCAAATTCCACTCTAGTAATACCATTCACAGTGTTTTCTGGTGGCAGAAAATAGGTAAATCCTGAGATACTAGCAATGGAGTAGTTCATAAGTGTCCTTTTGAGGTGTGGCACATTCCTACTTAGTCTTCTACAATACTGGTTTGTAAGTATTCTGCATCTCCAGCTTGTGTGAATTCAGTGTCAAGGAAGCTCACATTCCTGACTGGGACCATCCATCCTGCTAGTGTATTATTTCAGATGCAGCAAGACCATGGAATCGAAAATCACTTCGCAATCACATGCCTTCCTTACCAATAACAGAGTCATGACTAGTGGTTGTGAGATAATCATAGGTCCAACATGACTTCCTTGGGGTCCCTTCTGATGTGGAGAATGCCTGTAATAATCACACACGTCCTTCAGTAGTACATGTACACTCCACCAAGGACACACACACAGACTGGTGCAAGTGGCATCTCCCCAGAGAGACTGCTGGACCATCCTGGGCCTCAGTCTCCACCCTGAAGGTGGAGATGGTGTTCATCCTGAGAGGACTCTGAGAAGCACCAAGAGAGCACACCTCCATGAGATGCTGAAGCCCATGTTAGTGAAGCTGAGCTGCTTTGCTTCTGTCCCCCAGGGAATTCCCTACTGTCCCAGCAGGGCAGAGTGTTTGGTATTGAGTCTTGTCATGACCTCTAGGCAACCTAGTGAACTGATGGTGATGGAAGGTACTGAGGGGGTAATTTGCCAAATTAACTTACTGCCTATATCATTGTTAGTAGTTTGCACCACACACCCTCCCTTCCACTGTATTTCCCTTGATAAACAGGTGCATATGAAGTGGGGAGCCCAGGGATTTGCTTCCTAGCAGATTTAGTCCTTGGCACAAACTGGACTGCAATGCACCTGCTCCAGCCTGAGCCTCAGGGCCTTCATTTGACCTGGCCTCAGAGGCAGCACAGGCACAGGGTCTGAACAAGTTGTGCTGTGAGGAAATGTGTATGCTTGGGACCCTCAAGCAAACTACCCCCCCATACTGTTTTTTGCCCTTGGAATGAAAAGAACTATCAAAAAAAACACACCAATTTCTAACCTATTTCATTAAGCATCAATTTAGGTAAATTTCCCAGTTTTAATCTTTATGTGATCTACAGATCTTTCAAGAGTTTTCATTATTACTCTTGATTTCTTTTTAAATCTACGGAGGATTGCCCTGAATACATAAGGTTACTTTCAGGTAGGGAAAAATATTCTATTTTTTCTTCTTTTAATTAGAACATTTGAAATGCTATATCTATTTTGCTAAAAGTCATTCTAGCTTGAAGCATGGTAAAACTAATTCCAGTAAATACAACCTTCTACTGGTCAAGTCTCACAATAGTTCATGAAAATCTTAAGCATCTGCTAAAGAGTAAATGAGTTATGACAATTTTTGATAATGGCTATCATTTTGGAACAGCTAATGCTAAACACTTGGAGGAAGAATTGTAATAGCTCTTGCTTTAATTAAACAATGAACATTTCTCCATTAGACATCATGTTGGAATGATTGTGTGCTGGAGATGATGGGGAAATTTAAAAACAGGAGTGGCCTTATGCCAAGAGTTGGACCTGGCCCTCCACCGAGGAAGTAGAACCCAACTAGGGCGCAGTGATTCAAATGAGTGCCAGATTACCCTTCAGAGAAAAAAAAAGAAGCCAGTACAAACCAAGCTTGAACTTGATAATTATGGCCAACACACCATGAGCTGAAAATTCTAAAGATTAAAATCCCACCTGCTCCTGTGTTCCACATCCTTCCATGGCCTCCCTGCCCCTAGGCCAGCCATGTCTTAGAAGACTGTGGACTTGGGCCCAGGGAATATTCCCAGCTGGTGTCCAAGCAAGCTGAACATTCGCAAGTCAAAGACTGCCGGAACTGATGGCACCATCAGCCTCCTGCCATGTTGAGTTCTTTTACTTTCTTTCAGGGAGTTTCTCAGAACGTTACTTTGTCATGCTGTTTTCAAACTGTCTCAGGACAGGAGGCATGGATGGGATGGAGTCAGGCTGAAGTGAGATTAGAGAGTGGAGCTGCTCAAGGATCTCGGAAGATGTGCTCCCTGCTTCTGAGCCAGCAAACTAACATGCAGGGTTCAGCCAGAGATCAGAACTCCCAGCCCACCATCTGACTAGCAAGGAAGGAGGCTGTTCCCACCCTGCCCACTCAAGAGCCACTGAGCTCCTGGCATATGGCCGGGCCCATGACCCCAAGGACTATGCTCTGGCTGGCCCCAGGCATTTCTGCCCCTCCAGGAGTGTGAAGCTCACCCCCAGCTCTAGCATGAGTGTCCAGGGCCCTGGCCCTCTGTGGGTGCACCATCTTGGTTTCTCTTCACATGCAGCTGATGACTCCTACTTGGCCCCAGAACTGACCAGCTCTGGTAACCCCATGCACCAGCCCGAAGGATCAAAGCTCAGAGCCAGGTGGGACATGGAGCCCTTTCCTCAGCTGTGGAGAAAGAACACAGGAAGCCAATGGTGAATAAACATGGGGCACAGTAATAGTGTGATGTGAACGCTCAAGCACCAAGTCACCCTCTCCATTGTCTGCGCACACGGGACCATCTGCAGGGTTACTTGACATGATGTGGGGGTGCTGCCATTTTGCAGGCGCTCAGGAGGGCACAAACACATCTAGGCCTCTCTACTCCCAGGGGCCTCCATGGGAATGACTATGGCACCCACTCCCGGGCATCAGTGACCAAACAGAATGGTGAGGAAAACTCTTGGCAGCCATGAGGCTCCACTTGGCTTCTGTTGGTGCCACACTGATGTTTCTGGGCTCCAGAGGGAGCCAGGATGGGAGTGTCAGGCCTCAGACACAGGCCAGAGTGGTAGCTTGGTGTCAGGAGAGCAGACCTGTGGTACAGGAGCAGCAGACCAGCTCCGTGAGGGTGGCCTGTGCCTCTCTATTCTCCCTGCTCCTAGCCCTCTCTCCATGTCAGATCTCTTACAGGGCTTATTGCAGTCTTGGACACATGAAGTGTGATCAGAAACTATGGTGAATGTTTAAAAATTTTTTTTAATTATAATAAAAGACAACTCTCCTCAAAATACCTCTCTCTCTCTCTCTCTCACACACACACACACACATACTTTGAACACACCTATCCCATCACTCTTGCTACTTTCTGAAGCAGTTTTGGAACTCTTCTGTTGTGTCTTTAGTTGAGCTCTTGAGGCTTTCTCAATGTCCTGAATTGATTCAAAATGTTGACCTTTCTTGATCATTTTGACTTTGGGGAAGAGCCAGAAGTCTCACAGTGGCAGATCGAGAAAATAAGATGGATGAGGATGCACCATAATATTTTTACAAACCTGCCTTTCCATTGGATGGCACTCAGCAGCAACATTCACTGTATCTTTTATCACATTTCATAAATATGCTTGTGAAAGAGGACTCCTAGAGCTGCTTCAGAAAGTGGCCAGAACAATGGGATAAGTGTGTTCAAAAGGAGGGGGAGTACTTTGAAGGAGATTAATGGCAATGTGTCTTTTTTTTCCCATTAAGTTTATTGGTACATTTTAGGTATAAAATACACTTGCATTCATCATTGGGATCTTGTACCTTTACATGAGTGTCTTGGTTATTTTTTCCCCTTCCCCTGCCCCCCCTTCACCCCCTCCACCCTTCCCTATTTGCAAAGACTTTGTTTCCATTTTTTCCTTTTCTCATATATTTTCTTTTTCCTTTTT